AGGGGAACAAACATCCTGACCTGTGCCAAACCTCCTCAAATGGCTCCTTTTGATTCAGACAAGTAGCAAATTTTCTCCAAGGCCATACTGGATATCCTAGCTTTTCAAGCTGCCACAGAGATTAATCCCAGCAACCCCAAGGAAAAACCTCCTTTCCACAGTTTCTCACTTCACCATGGACAAGCACAGTACCTACAACCTTCTGACTCTACCAATCCAATGGCCAACCTCACAATACCATTTGCCCTTACTTGTGAACAAGACAGCACTGTATTTAAACCTCTCCACTAAAGGCAGCTGTTCCTTTCCTCATCTAAAGAGCACAATTTTGTTTAAAAGTTGGACGCTAACTTCAGATTTGGAGGTGGTAATTCTCATCCTAGCCGCCCTTAAGCAGTAAACTATTCAAGTGTGCATTGGAGATCACAGTCAAAGAGGACAACACCATCTGTAATCAACATAGAAGCCATCTCCATGTCTCCAAACTGGACACTCTTCCTAAAGAAGATCACAAACAGGAGTGGAAAGAAAATGCATCATTGGAAGAGTTCAACACCCACTTTGAATGAAACCCACTTAATTCCAATAATACAGATATAGTTCTCAATCTGAGAGTAGAGGGATAGAGGGACCTGATAGCACGCAGCACTGGCAAGCTACCTTATATTCCTGCAGCAACAGCCACATCTCAAGGAATGCAGTCATCTGCCTTCTCTAGATTTACAAAACACAGATCGAACTAGAGTGTCCACTGTTTCACAACAAGTACGTAAACCATATTATTTCACAATTGGATGTTCAACAATTGACAGAGTTTGTTAGGGAAGCAGAGGATAAGATTTCCCTGTAGTTGAAGCACCCTCATCAGGAGTATTGCATCCCCATTCCATACAACATTGAACAATGGCAAACCCAACTTTGGAGATCTTTTACTGTCACAATGACCTCAGCAAAGTTAATTAGATTTGATTCTATGATAAGTTTATGGTACTGCCTACTAAAGAGGGCATGTGAACCAATTTCATGAATTGCACATAGTGCTCCTTCTTCTCTCAATAATCTCCACAGTCAAGGTCAGCATTCCACCACCCTTGCTGAGGGCAGCCTGGGAAGTAATCAGCCAACACCTCCTAAGCCAGCCTACTTGACCATTTGAGATAAATCTCCATTTTGTTTCTGTGGTTCACATTTTCAAATAGCTTCATGATAAAGAATGTGCAACCAGAAAGAAATGAAATGAGAAAGGTGCTGCTGATGGCTTAAATGAAATGAGTTCAAACAAATGTATACAAATGCATAAAGGAAAATGTGAGCAGACTGACGGAAAATCCTTTGAATTCATTTTTCATCCATATCCGTCAAATCATAGACTGTGTAAAATATGAAAGTAGAAAAAGAGATAAGCAAACATATTTTGTCACGTTTTATCCCATATCTGATTAAACTGTTTGTAAAGTACTAATCACTTTAATTTTACATTGCACCCTGTTCATCATACCTCATCATTTTCAATCTATTTTTGCTGTTTTACGAGGAATACAAAGCGTAGTCAGTTTTCTTTTAAGTATTGTATGGTATTGTATTCATATCATGACCTCATTCATTGAAAACTTTGTAGGAGTGAACAGCCCTGCTAAAGCAACTTTTTTGGTATCACTTTCCAAGCAGAAATAGGGGCAGGTCAGGACATACTGGGTGCCAATACACTCCATGTGCAAGACTAAGATAGTTTATAAATTATACAAATATGTTCCTGTGCACTGTTGAAACATTTCCTTTAGCCTTCCTTTCGCTTTCAGACATTTTCACATCCAGCACTCTTAAGCATTTTAGTGCATTTTTCTTAAATTCATTCTTATATATTACTAATCATGCCTTACCTGCCTGATGTAACATGGTAGTGTAAACATGCATACACTCAATATCCTATTACCAGCACCAAATCACAGAAGGTCAACTGAATACCCAAATGCTCAAAAGCTTCAAACAATATTTCAATATTATTAAGTTTCCATCTACCTTTAAATAAGTTCTTCCTTGCAGAATGGTATGCATATTTGCACAGTGATATACAGTAGCCCTTACAGACTACATATTTGTCTAAAAAACATGCACATTTCTCTAGGTGTTTAATGTAAGGATCGGGACTGCTCGGCATTTGGCCCTAACCAATTCACTCTATTGTAATAGTTTGAAATTGTTACTATGCTAATCCTATAAATTATATTGTTATAGGACTGATTGTTTTTCAGGGGATAGATAAGATGTCCTACCATCATAAAATAACTAACCTAGACTGTGAAGAACTGTGCTTGAACCCATAAAGCAAGTCAATCAGATCCTGTGTTATAACGGATCCAGATTTCACTTGCACATAGATACATTTCTGCTATGCCTCCAATATATTATTTGTCAAAGGCCAGCTGTTTCATATCTCTCCATCTACATGTTCCCACGCTAGTTGGATGGAATTCATGTTAGGATTATGTAGGTCCCAGTGAAGAAGCTGTTCTGTCATATCCACAAAAAGAAATTCTGGAGATATGGAATATTTGTAGTACCATTCTCATGAGTAAATATGTCCCCTATTGTAAATCATTCTTCTTGTACAGTGGGTTTTATATAGGTTGCCACATGCAATATCTCCAAAACTACTTTGGTTGAAATACACAGAATGGACTGCTTCCCTAGTGACCACAGACTTAAGCAAGACAAGAACTACAGTAAAAAGTTACCAAGATCTGGAAAAATATGGATAGGCTATAATACAGTACAATAGAGTGATGCATTTTTAACATTTATGATATTCTGAAAATAATGTAAGACAAGCCAAGGGAGAAATAAAAAAGAATATTGCAAATGAGGTAAAAATAATAATTAAAGGTTCTTTCGATATTAATAACAGCAAAAGAAGAGTAAAGAGAGAAAAAAGTGGTTTATGATCATTAGTCTTGGGACAATTACAAAACCATTTTGAAACATTTGGGGCTCCATCTATCCACTGTCAGAAAGACAGTTTTAAAATTAAAAATATTCAAGACCCACAACTTTACCCAGGACTTGTCATCCTGCCAGGATCTCCTCAACAGGAACACAGAAGTCAAAAGGAACTAGTAAATTTAAGGATCTGCAGACCTCTGTCATTTTGGAGAGAGTTCATACCTCAACCACAGGAAAAGCATGAACAGGAATGGTTTTCAAGGGAGGATAGGAAAAAGACATTACATTCTAAAAGAACATTTCCACCCATTTCAACTTTTCATCACAATGAGAAACATTTTGTGTTGCAAGAACAAAACACTGCGTTCCAACAGAAGGACCTGATCCTGACTGTCAAGCATCATAATGACAGAATCACAATCCAGACAACTTGCCATCATTGACAGAACCATGAATTCAGTGTTGTATTAGCAAGTGTTGTCAGAGAATATAAGGTAATTAATTTGACAGCTGAAACTAAGCTGACAGTGGGTCATACAGCAACATAATTGATCCTAAATATCCAAGCAGATCTACATCAGAAAGGCTGTAGAATAAATTTTGCATTTTAGATTGGCCAAGTCAAAATCCAGACCTAAATCTCATTGAAGCATCATGGCAGAATCTGAAACATGCTGAAACCATCCAATATCACTAACTTGAAGCAGTTCTGTAAGGAAGAATAGGCAAAATGTCATAACCAAAAGTAATGCAAGAGATGGATCAACAGTTTCAGGACATAGAGTACAGTAACTAGCTGAAGTCATGGCTGCTCATGGAGGTGCCATATGTTAATGAATCTCAGGTTTGACATACTGTACTTATTCACACAAGGACTTCTTACTGTTGTTAATTACAGTAAAAAAACGTATTTCTCATGCCTTTGTGTTATATAGTACAGTGTATGCTTAATCTTCATCTTCTATTATGACTTCACTTAAGATCTAATTACAGTACATTTAGGTCTGCAATGTAAAAGAATTTGGAACAAAGTAGGAGGTTCACAAACATAGTAACACAAGTAGACAAACACACTTAAGATGTTTTGTGCTTAGGGAAACAAAATGTTACTCATTTTGATCTTTAAGAAATCTCCTTCAACAACCATTTGAACACCAGAAAGGTTACAGATGAGACAAGGCCATTAGGTCCATCTAAGTTATTCGGTTTTTAGAACTTAATATATTCAGGGATTTCATCCAGCCTTTTCTTTAAAATTGTATAAGCTTCAACAACATAGTTGAATACTGTAGCTTGTTTGAGGGCCTTATGACTTAGATTGGCTACACGGCCAATTCTCATTGGTACCTCTTCTGTTCTTGTGTGTCCAAGCATATTATGAAGTCAAAGTACATGCTACCCAGATTTTAAAATGTTTAGTCTATTTGATTATGGCTGTATGGCAGACTTAAAATAAAGGTTGCTCATAATGAAGGATATTCAATTCATTGTGGTAAACCATGGTAAAATAAATACAATAAAACAATTTTCACACCTACTTAATGTATTATCCGAAATGTTTAGTTTGGTAATTGGATTAGTTTGCTAAAGGGACTGGGTTATGTTAGTAATTCCCCATAAAACTCGTACAGAGACGCAACTGGTATATAAATCTGTCAACAGTTTCAAATACTCTAGGTACTCTCAATTTAATAAAAAGGTTAAAATTCTTATTCTAATAGAACATCTTCTTCATAGCAATTGAACTGCCATCCAGACATTCCCACGAACGCATAAAATAAATCTCTAAAGTGACAAACCGATAAACGATAAACAGTAGCACCTCAGCGTTTTCTATGTGGGGGCAGATGTTTTGGTATGTTCAGATCGCATTAATCTAAGGATGTCAATGTAATTGTTTTCCTGAAATTTACTTTATCTTAAAAGGGACAATAATTAGGTAAATCAAAAAGTGTAATTTGTCCAGATGTACAGTATTTAGCAAAAGCATGTTTTCCCTATTTGCATTTCTTTAACTCTTGTTCCATTCCAACCGGATGCAAAAAAATGACAGAACTTACTGCTTGAACTTCACTGGCCAGAAGAGCAAGGATTGATAAACATATTAGCAGAAACCTGAAAAGAGAAAAAAGAGACTAATTAACAATATATTCACGACGACATTCTGACATAAAAATGACATATGCGTGCATTTCTACTTGCCTTGTTTTCTCGGCTACCATCTGTTGACCTTTCATTTCTCCGTCTGTCCGCACTTCAAATTTCATTCCTTCTTCCCTAATATTCTCCAGGTGCTACTTCATTTCTGTCTAAAGGAGACATCTCCAAATTAGAAACTTGATCATATTTTATTATCATCATGTTCACCATACAGGTTTCCAATGACAGACGATTCTAAAATGCCATCGACCGTACTAGTAATTTGATAAGCATCCGATATAAATTTCAAACACAATCACTACTCTCGTAACATATATGCAAATCACGAGCATTGCTATCTCAGGTATAACAAATTAGTTGTGATCTCTGGTCAGTCAGGAGTAGTCTACACTACTCCTACACTATCTATTCTATCCTTAACACTTCTCACCCTTGTAGCATATGGACACATTGTTTATGTTTATGAAAGTTAGTAAAAAGCACCGGTTGACTGGAATGATGGTTGTTAAAACACGAACAAAAAGCTGAATTCAAAAAGGTAACATAGTTACACTTACATGAACATCTGCATACAATGTCTGTGCTGTAGTGCGCCAAAAGCAGGGCGACCACTCGGAAAAGCAGGAGCCGCTGTTCAAAAGAAAGTTAGGTGTACTGTTGCTATTGCCCGGAAAACTGCGTTCAAGTATTTACTCAAAATATGAGTCTCAACTGAACATCTTTATAGGACGTATGGCAAACCCACTCCTTACAATCACAAACTTCAAGTGTAGCTTTGTCTGTGATTCAGAATTGGGGTGGTGATGGCTAGAAATAGGGGGTGGGGTAGAAATATCAAGGAGCAGCAGTTTTGTGCAGTTAAGTCAGAACGGTTTACTGAAGGCAAAGATGAAGTTAAACGCGGTCAATAAGCTCTGAGTAAAAAAGAAAGTTTATTCGAACAGCTTAGAAAGCGAAGCAAAAGTGTCCTGTTGGGACACTGAAAACTTGTAGGAAAAAGTTTTCATTGTCTTACATTAAAATGGTATTTCTCAACTGTGCCTTGCTGCTTATAGCGGTCATCTCATGTAACATTTACGAGACTAGAGCAGAGGTGAGTACCGATTGTTATTATCGTTGTTGTTGTTCTTGTGATGATAATATTTAAAAAAAAAAAACAGAAATGGTTTGTTAGAACTATGTTGAAAAAGTCGTAGTGTGTAAATATGAGCTTTCTAAAACTTCGCAAAGACTTAAGAGTTTATTTCCTACAATAAGAATTACAAATTGTGTTAAACTGTATGACTGTTGACTTCTGTTGAAATGTGTACCTGTGGAAATTAGGGATTCATTTTTAGCAACGTATCAAATACAGCATAATGAGTATTATCAGTTAGGTAAGGGAATATGCCACTCCTTATCTGAGAACAATCAATTTCTGCATAGTCCTTTTCAAATAATATACCATGATTAAACACTAACTGTATATTGTATGTCTAGATATGACAGGAGTGAAGTTCTTTAGAAATACAGCTTGTTTTAGATTTAACTGTTCACTTTATTTCTGAATTCAATGTACATTCATTTAGTATGAATATCCACACAAAGCACCGATATCAATAATGAACTTTAGAAGTTTTGTCCGAGTATCTGTGAAACTGTGTGTCCTGAAAAGTATGTTAAACTAGACATTGTCATATCTAGTACAAAAAACACTATATTGTGGTAAATATGCTGCCCCACAATCACACCTTTTTTTTTTCTTGGAAAGCATGGCAAAATGTAAGTGGATAAAAGCTGGATAGTTATATCTTTATGTATGACTACAAATATATGTACTGTATACTTTATATACAGGCTATACTGCAACTATTGGATTGTAAATATTAGATAACACATTTAGTTTTAAGAGTGTCAAAGACAATTAAATTAGGCTCCTGTTTTTAAATAATACAAAATGGCTTAAATATCTATTTTCCTGTCCCATTAAAAAGCAGAAAACTGAGAATCTTAGCCAGGCTTGATTGCTGTTCATCAGCCTATGTACTAATGTCAATAAACTTGTAAATATGTATGTTTTCTGTTTCATGTGTTATGCAACATCCTTAATCGCACCACTGGAATTTGTTTGGATGTATAAAGTAATAAGGAAGTACAGTATGAAGCAGTACTGTATGTGTACTTCAGAGATATTTTTAAATGGCATTCAGTGAGCTCAAATGATTAATCATCTTGTTTTATTAATAAGTACACAATTCCATAGTCAGTTTCTAACATTGGATGTGTTAAAAATGAAAATACAGTGTTTAAATTAAATAATGCTCTGTGCCTTACCTTAATGTAGGAAGGGAGATCTACATAAACTCACAAAAGTAAACTTTCACTCTTTCTCATAAAAACAAGCGGACATTCAAGAGTACCTCTATTTCCCTTATTGTCTTATGTCCTGCACACAATTAATCATACTGATCTGTCCTTTTCTATTGTTCTTAACAATACCCTGAAAAATTATGAAGGTTTTGTTGACTACAGCCAGTCCAAGATGGAAGTTTGTCTTATTTTTAAGTAGATTACATCAGGATACATTGCATCCTGATATTTTTTGCGACAAATAATCTTTATTCTGCATAGTAGGTACTGTTTACTGTATGTCTGGGTCATGCATGTTTAAAGGCGTTTGGTTTTCTCCTATAAGATATTAGCTTATTGAGATGAAATGTTGGATCATTGTGGTCTGATTTTGGAACTTGTATTTTATGTTCTGTTCATTGACATAAGTGACATAGTTAGTGTCTTTTACAAGGCAAGTGTCTATTATGAGATTATTGGATAATTCCAAGCACTTGTGTAGTGTTTCTCATCCAAAAGGCTCTCTGAGCCTTAAAAGGAGGAAACCCACATCATTCTGCACTGATGTGCAGCACTCATCTAGATGTTGCACAGCATCCATTATGTGTCAGCTGTACCACTACAGACCAGTTCAGGTAGAGAAGTGAGAAACAGCTTCACCAGTTGAGGTAAGGGGGTGCTTTAGGTTGGCTAAAGTTCAATTTCACCATCTGCCCATGCCCTTGTCATGGCATTTTTAATTACCAAATAGACAGGTTCATAGTTTAACGCACCTTCTAGAGTACAGAAGGTGTTGCCTGGGAAATTTTGGTCCAGAGTGCCACTCACTGGTCCACCAAAACCATTTTCAACAGAACCTGTTGCCCCTTATACAGTAGGTCTTACATTCCAAACTGATCATAATCAACTTTGCTCAGGTTCTACTATTTGACAAGGTCCTGCTACAAGCTGGTAATGCTGCTGCCAGGTCCCCAGTGAAATTAAAACCTAAATAATTAATTAATGCACTTGGGCAATGTTTGCATCATGAATGCTTGGTGTAAGCCTCAGTTATTAGTGCAGTTGGTTGTGCTGTGTACCATTCAGTGTGAAGGTGCCTTACACAAAAGACAAAGGCTGCAGAGCTAAGGAGGACCTGTGAGCTGCTATGAAGCAGGTGAGAGAGAGTATCACTAGTTATGTATCTGAGGAATTGAGGAACCTGTTGTTGCTTTATCAATTTCCCATTAACAGTAATCAACATATGACTTTGAGAATTGTATTTACTTAATTTTAACATGGTCATGTTCCTCTTGTTTAATACCTCTAATATCTTAAATTACATTAGTGCCATGCTACTTTTATAGCTTGGACCCTCTCTATATACTGTATCTAAGGAGCTTTCAAAGAAAGGATCTAAGGATCTTCAAAAAAGTCCCCCAGAAGATCTACTCTAACACTATTCTAATTCTTAGAAAATGAATATTTTATCTGTGGTTTAGAATGTCCTCTATTTGTAAATTGTGTATTCAATTTTAAATATTACTTTTTACAGTTAATCATAGTCAGTTACAGTCAGAATTAAAGTAATCAGTCTAAGCACTATTTTTGGAATTTTTATCCCACACATTTTTATCTCATCTCTTCAAGTGATTCTACTGTGTCTACTTTTTCCTTGAAAAAAATAATAAAGGAGAATTTATGTTAACTTTTTCTTCAAAGCATTTTGAAGGAAAAGTACCTGACTAATGTAGCAGAATAAGATCTGTGAGCTCTGTAATAATGGTGGGGCTATAACTCTTAATATGTTGAATCAGAGAATCGGTTGGAGACAAAAATTGATTAAAAGGTCTGTACTAATTTTAATGATATATGTTGTACTGATGGAAATGACCAAATCCAAAATGTATGAACATTTCTGGTGTAAACTGTATCTAGATAAACGAGATGCCACAGATATGAGTAATTAGGTATATCAATACTTACTATACAGTATGCTGTATTCCAAAACTGAATCCATTCCAGTGGGTGAACTCTCTCAATTGTATCATTTCAAGTGGAACCACACGTATAAATGGTGTCACAATTGGATGGTTCCTGTAACCCTAACCCTAGCCTGGCCTGAAATATACAGGTATGCTCATTTAAATACTGCGTTAATAACATTTTTCAACTGATTGAAAGCCTGGCTATAGAAGATGCATTATTGAAGAAGACAAATTTACAAGAGTGTTTATACATGGTTCTCATTGTTTTAGGCTCATATGTTTTTGGATTGATGAACATTTTCAAATCTGATGAATGGAAGGCTTCAGAGACAGAAAGCAGAATTACTCAGTGTAAACCCCAGCTAGGGTTATGGTTAACAATCCCACAGTAGATAGACCTTTTTTAACCCCATGGCTGTACCTTGGGGCCCAAGTGAAGTATAGGAAGAGTGATAATTTCTCCCATCTTTCGGATAGATAGGGATGCTGCAGTTATATTGCATAGTACAGGAAGTGTATTCCAAAAATGCATCATATTAAAATTGTGAAGAAAATCCATTCCACTGAATAAACTCTCTCAATGGTGTCAAATTTCTATCCCTAACCCTAGCCTGGCCTGAAATGTACAGTATCTCTCATACGTTGAAGAATCATATTTAATACAAATTATATTTTTCAGTCAATACATACAGTATTTTTGCTTGCTACTCCTATTCTCATTTAAGTGCTGAAAAATGTGTACTGCCATGAAAAACATTGAGCAATTTATTGAGCAAAATCCTCCTTTGCAAATGATTGAGTACAATACAAATCGCCAGTTCTTTCTAATTTAAGGAATGTCATAGTTTTGGTCTTGTGAAACAAAAGGCAGATGTTGGATTAAGAGAAAAAAAACCCAGTGTGTTCACAGATTCCTATGTGCTCGTTAACATGCTCTTGTCCTGGATGAAATGTTTAACTTGCATCTTACATAGATAAAATCGGCTCTACCTTGAGTTAGCAATATCTAGGACAATCAGCATGGCGTGTTTAATAGACCCAGTGAGTTTGTTGTGCTCATGATTTTGTTTTGACTACATTACAGTACTTTGTTGAAAATTCAGAAGCTTTTAAAGAAGCTTAGAAGCTAACACTTAAGTTAAAATAATATGTGCAAATTCTGCATAGAGCTATTTAACTGGATCTAAAATCCTGAGATATTAGGTATATACAAAGCTTGTATGATGCTATTTCTAAATATTTAAACAATTAAATGATACTTAGTATGCACATTTACATTCTTTAAAAGATGTGTATTCACATTTACAGTAGGTACATGTTATAGCTCATTTTATTTTTTGATGCAGGTGCCTTTTATGCCTTATCTGTGTCTTGCATTGATTCGCTTCCCTGATTATTTTTCTGGATAGACCATCCTGGGACCAAGGTGTTTAATCTGCTTTTTGGGTGACTGAAAACTATATAGCACGTACAGTATACAGTATATAGTTTAAACATGCTCATTCAATGAATATTAACTATTCACTCTTTCTATATAAGTTCACTTTATTGGCCATATACAATTTCTTGTATTAGGAATTTGTCTTTTCACATACCCCAACACACAGACAGGGAGAAAAGCGTGGGGTCAGAGTGCAAGGTCAGCCATTTATACGGTGCCCCTGTAGCAGTTGGGGTTAAGGGCCTTGCTCAGGGGCCCAACGCAGTAGGATTCCTCTGCCGGCCGCAGGATACGAACCGGAAACCTTCCAGCCACAGGAGCAGATCCTTAGCCACAGAGCCACTGCACCGCCCTCTA